GTTAATTTTATATAACAGAATAATGAATAAAGCAACATTCTGTGAAATTAATCCTATTTTGGAATAATCCTATGTTAAGCAGTGATATCTAGCAAAAAAGATTCTAAACCTTTGTGTTTCCGTACTTCCTACTTAGCAAGATACCTGTGTGTATATCACTTCAACCCATAAAATCCATGATTTTATATTTATTTTTTAAAGGAGTCTCACTAGTTGCAATTACAGTGATGAGACTACTGCATCAGAAATTCCTTCAGTATCATGAAGGACATAAATTAGAATTTTTAGTACCATTTTACTCATCAGGAAAAGATATCAAAGGGTAGGGTTGTTTGGTAATCTCTCTCCTCTGTAAAATGTTTATGTAACAAAGTGCATAGTGGGCTACTCCTTTTAAAGACTACAGATGCTTCAGTAAATCCAGAATGTGTTTAAATGCAGCTCTGTGTATCTTTCATATTTGGGGTAAAGACACCATTATTGGAGAAGAGAGGGCTTTGGTTTTGTTTAACCAAAGAGAATAATAAGTTCAGCGTAGCAGGCAGAATATTATATTAAAACCAAAAAACGGCACGGGAAGCAGATGCAATTTTTAACTCTGCTGCAGTTCATTTTGATTTGAAATTCTGTAGAATGAAAATTGTTTATGGTGTGTTGGTTCAGCTAACTCCTTAAGTGAGTTCAGATGCAGAAAACACATTAAGATGCTCTCTTCACTCAGATATTTTCCCTGTCCGTTTATCAAAAAAACTTTTTTTTTTTTTTGCACACACAGCCAATGGAACCATCCCACAACGATTTGTAATCAATGAGGCATCAACAGGCACACAAAGTCTAGAAAATATAAGTGATCGTGAAGTCCTGGCTGCAGGGTAACAACAGAATCTCTTGCCTCTATCACATTCAAGATTATTTGGGATGCTTATGGCCCTAACATCTATAATGTGCTTCCATATTATATGAGGAGATCCCTATGGGCTAGTAAAGGACGTTTGATTATGGGATGTTTGTTTGGGATGGACAAACCCATTTCTCCACTGACATCGTCACAGGTGAAATGAAAAAGGGAAAAGACACCTAAATTATTCTCCTGTGGTTTCCTTCCCAAATTCATCTGGACAGGCTTAGGTAACGAAGGAGAATGCAAAGTGCTCAGCCTTTCATCTTCTGAATTCAACACTCCTTCTTTGGGCTCCTGTCCGAGACTGCATGGCTCCTCTCATCCAGTACAAAACTCCCCTCTCATCCAGGACAAAACTCCCCATTCAGAGAGCAGGGCAAATACAGAGACCAAGTAAACACTGCTGTGGTAATGTATTCCTTAAAGTCATACTTTCCCTTATCTATGAAAGGCCTTATGCTATTGAACAGTAAAAATCTCTTAAGGTAGTAAAAACCAGTGTCCTAACTTCCAAATTCTGCATGTTACTATCGCATCTCTGCAAAACACAAAAAAGTATGAAAACAAGGAAAGGTTATTGGAAAGGAAATCTTTGAGAACTGCCTAAACTCAGATGTACTGTTAGCTCCCTTCAGGATTTTTTTTTTTTCTTTTTTCTTTCTCCTTTTTTAAATTAAAAAGAAGAATTTTAAGTGAGTGTACCAATGTCATCTGCTTCCAACCTGAATCAAAAAGATTGAAAATCATAAATCTGATATTTGTGGGGAGAAGAAAATTTCACATTGTATAATAAGAGTGAACAAACGTGTTCAATTTTGGGCAGGCATTTTAGATTTAATGCTTATTCTTCTCACAAGACAAGAACAGACTTTAACTGACACTGATACAGATGTCAGTTTTCTTGGTCTCCCTTTTTCCATTCTGTTTTTTCCATTCTTCCTGCATACACTAATCATATTCTTCAAATTATGCCTTGGTGCATTGCATGCACCTTCTGTTTTAATTTATATTGGCAAAGTAGTAGGTGTCCTGTTAAGCACAAACCCTGCTGACTTAGTTCTCTTTCCTCTTAGCTTCCTCTTTAAAAGCAATTTTAGATCGTATTTCCTAAAACAAGGAAACCTGAATTATTAATACTCCTAATATAACTAACTATATAGGGACAAAATACTTGGAAAAAAAAAATCTGTTAAGAATGCCAGCAAGTATGGGGACAGTGAGCTGGTAAGAGGAAAGAAATAAAAGATGCATCATACCTAAAATATTTGGAATGCATACACACTTCATTTAGCTAGTAAGTACTTTAATTTAGCTAGTAAGTACTAAACTAAGGAGGATTCCATGCTTCACTGGGTTCAGTAATGATGACAATCCCTCATACAGTGTAGGAAAATGATCCCTTTTGGTTTTGGCAACACCACTGGAAAAGACTAATCTTAAAATGTATACAAATTTTTTTTTATTATTTTGAAGCCATTAATTTATCAAAAGTGTAGTAAGATTCTGAAATAAAATAACCCATGTTTATGTTTCATATGTGTCTTCACACAGGCCACATACAGAAATTTCTTACACTGCAAACTACAAACTCATAACCCAGGTGAATAATGCCAAACATTGGACAAAATAATGTTTGGGTCTTCAGGTTTCTCTCAGTCATCCTCAGTAAAAGGCAGACAAACTACAACATAGTCCTTAACATCTGTTGCTGTGACTGTGCAGCTCCTTCTTCACTGATAACGTTCCCCAGAGTCAGCATTACTAGTTAAAAAATGCGTAATGCCTTTGACTCCTTCTAAAAATATATAGAAGTAGCACATCTCACCACAACTTTTAATTAGGAATCCCAGCAGAAAGATAACTCCAGGCGCAATACAGGACCTTCTTTGTACTTCTGCTTGTTTGCTGAGTCATTTCCAGAAAAGTTGAATCTTTGGCACTGAATTTGTGTAATGGAGACTTCTCAAACATGCTCTTATACAGACTTGTTCCCAAATTCTTTTTTTTCCATTCTTTCATGAATTTGACATATAATATCTTGAGCAACAATCTAAGAATTATTGATAGGACAAATTCTAGGTCAATTCTGACCCTGCTTACTGTCTCATCCTCTTTATGCTAGCATCCTAAATGTCTGCATTTGCTCTTCTCCCATTACTCTGGTTATGGGGAGAAAGAGTAATGCCTTGGAATTACTAGAGCTTGCAGTCAAAGTTCCTCATGTGTTCAACTTTGGAGGGGAAGAGACTTTTTTTATTTTTAAATTTTTAAAAAAAGACAACTTTCCATAGATATTTCTGTCTTTAAAAGAAGTATTGACAAACTGGTAGTTTGGGGGATTAATGTTGTCTTAGCATCTTTCCAGCTTGGTCGTTACTTATATCCTCTTTTGCTAAATTACTGACTCTCTCCCGATAACATGCCCCTTTTTCACTAACGGAGTAGGGATAATTACAAAATACAGCTGTAAGAAGAGAGACCCTTTGTGCCATTTGGCTGTATGCCTGAGGCAATGTTTTGCATGGCTGTAAATACCCTTGCCTGCTACCAATCCTGCTCTTCATTTCTGTTTATTATAACCCAAAGTGGATCTCTACTTTATGACAGAAAACAGGTCCCCGTGCTGTCTCACGCTGCTGTTTTGTTGGCACCTCTAGCTGGCTGCCTGATCATAGGGCTTATGTAACAAAGCAGAGTCCAGAAACGTTTCCATCCCTCTCTGTTAACAAAATAAGGAATTTCACCCCAAGAATTACTTTGGCCTGAGGCCCAGAACAGGTAAAATTCAATCCTAGGTGAACGGTGGTTTTTTTACATATCAAGAAATGATTTAAAAGCTTCTAGTGAAACTACTGAGCTGAAAAAGGAATGAGATCTCTCTGAAGCATCAAAACCTCATTCTTAACCCTTAGACAACACAGCAAAGCAGTCTTCATAAATGTAACAGCATTCTAAGGTCATCTTAAGATTACACTAGTAATTTACATGACTCTTCATGACCCTACAGAATTGGATAAATGTAGTAAAGCATCTGCTATGTAGGTGGAGAAATGAAATTGCCAAATAAGAAAAAAAAACCCATAAATTATTTCTCTGTAAAAGGAAGGGAAGAGAGGCAAGAATTTATAGGGGATATCTTTTTACGAGACCCACTGATTTTAAGATAAACCAAATGCAGAACACAAAGAAACCATTTCCTATTTGGGTCAAAATGGATTTTTTACCAGGTGGCTGAAGTAGCCTGAAGTCTGCTAGCTTCCTTAGAGCAGCAGCAGGGAACAGTTAGGTTTAACATTACTAACATTTCATGGATTTAATAATGGGAGGGAAAAATCATTAGCTCTGCAATATGCAGACTACCTAGTGCAGGAAAGACAAAGCAGGCCAGTTTCCAGACTTACATTGCTAGAGCTTTACATTTATGAAAGTCAGCATTGTAAATCTATAGGAGCAGAGAGACTTAGTAGTCAGGGAGCAAGCTTTCCTCTATGGAAGACTCTAGTACTTCAGCTCTGCTATACTGGGAAAAGGGGAAGAAGGAGCCCAAAGATAATACAGGTGTCTTCTCCTTATTACAGAGCTGGTTGCACAAAATAGCCTCTTGAATTTGTAACGGACACCTAATGTAATAGACTAGATGGTGGGCACAAAATTCCCTTTTCTCCATGTTAAATAAAGACACAATGAGTTCCTGTTTTTCATGGCTTGCATGTTCTGTTTTGTTATAATAAATGATTCCTTATAATAAATATTCTAAAGTAAATGGAATAAAAATGTTCAAGTTCCAAATCAATGGCATAAAAATGTTCAAGTCCACAGTATTGAAAACAAGTGGAAATTTAGCTTTAGGAATACACTGAGATCTGTATATAAAGCACAAATCTTAGACCAAATCCATGCTACTATACCGCTTGAGGTTTCATACAGCAATGAGATAACCAGAGAGTATGAAACAAAATTTGTGAAGTACTTGCATATTACTCAATGCATATTTGTGTGCATTTCAGAATGTAAGGAGGTTTTCAAACACTTTAAGAAAAACTATTTTCTTTAGGATCCTGACAAATCTGATATTTAAGCAGAGGCATTAAGTACTTACCACCACCAACATTTCCTTCTCTGCGGCTACGTGCACTGCCATCTCTGCCAGATTTAATGCGCTGGAGAACAGTGAGAAAGGTTTGAAAAGAACAGAACAAAAACCCCATTTAGTAATATACATTAGAGATAATTATTGAAAACTCAACTTAGCTTATACAGTAGAACAACGTTGAACTAGGCTTACTATACTGTAACTAACAAACCTCATTTTTTCAATGCATAAAATTGTCCTTAAAATCAGTGTTAAATCCAATGTTTACATAAAACAAGAGTTCTATGAAAGTCAAACAGAATATCTCAATAAATTGTTTTTCTTCAGATAAAATTTATACAAGGAATGTGCATAAAAATAGTTCATATGTACCTTTGTAAAGTACAGCTGAAAAAACAGGCAACACAGCCCTCCTTGCACGAGTTCAAAGTAGCCTCTGCCTATTAACGTCTTGTAAATCCCACAAGCGTTTTATTATTGTAAAGATTCAAGGGGCGGAAGTAGGGGAATCTATAAAAAGAACTATTCACCCCATAAATCTTAAATTTTGAATACTTGGCACAGCATTGTACTATACAGCAAAATTTAATATGCTGTTGAGTGTTAAATGCAAGATAAAGGTGAAGGTAAATACTTTAAAAGCTGTGTTTAAAAAGCCAGCTCTCTTGCACTGAGGAAGGTACCATAAACATCTTCCAGCTGTGTTTTTTTTAGTGTTATTTGAAAACTTTAACAGTTTATCAAAGCAATACCTCTGTATCACATGGCAGACTTGGCTTCCCCTGGCAAAACACCAAATTTCTCATGTATATATCTTGTCAATTACAAGAAGGTACATCTCAGTGAGGGACTTCTTGATGGGTAGGTACAAAAACTTGGTGTTTAAAGCACTCAGCTGTTAATAAAGTAATCTCTGCATCTTATTTCAAAATGAGTTCAGGATCTGATTAAAACACATATGCACACTACCTAACCATGTATTCAGGTCAATTACTGTAGCTTCTTCATTCATTTTTCACCAGAAGAGTATCATGGAGTCTGGCAAAGTTGGAATGACACAGAAGAAGTGAAAGAACCTTCAAGATTTGTGCCAACAGAAAAAGGAAGAACCCTTAAATCAAAACTCACAGGAGTCAGACAGGAAAGCAGTGAGCCTAGTGTGAAACCAGGAATGGTCCTGGAGCGATCCAGTCTGGGACCAGAATTTCTCATACTTTTTATTTATTTTGGGAAATCCTCAAGTCTAAAATATGTTCTCTGAATTCTGGATTAAATATGCTAGTCACAGTCCAGTGAAGTAGCATATATCAGTCCTTCAGGAAACATGTTCAGACCCTCCAAATGTTGAATGACTGACAAGTCTGCCAGTGGAAGCTCAGCTTCTGTCTGCCAGAGGGAAGTGGTCCCTAAATGATAGTGCCCTCATGGCATTTACATCCTAGGACTTTACTCCCAAAATATTATAGAAGTACTACAGCTTAAGCATATGACTAATTCCTGTAAAGTTCCAAGTGAGTAGTTTATAAGTCATCCCATACTAAAAGCAGAAATTTAAAATAGGTCCAATGATTTCCACCCTAAAAATGCCTATTTCTCTCCCATGACTGCAAAAGAAATTTAGGATGATTAGTCCAGATGTAGATGCCTGAAAGTAAAGGCAGTAAGTCCCCCCCAGTGTTTGCACCTATCATCGCTGCTTCACACCACACCCAATCAATCCCTCATTTTCAGTCATTAAGCTCACTCACTAAATAAATAGTAATGCATGTATACATCAGTGCCAAGAAGGTTGTGTGAACTTTTACCTGTCTTTTTTAAACTGAAACATGAAAAAGAAAGATTAATGCAGTAGGAAAAAAAAAAACCAAACCCAAAAAAACCCAAACACAAACCCAAAAAAACAACATATGAAGGTTACAGTAAAAATCCAATGTTGTGAGAAGCAGGGAGAAAAATTTCTACAGGGAATGAACCCCACAGATGTTCCCAGATTCTTGGCTGGAAGTATTTAACAACTTGTCCATATTTGAGAACTGAGTGAAATAAGTACTCCAGAATATTTATTTTGGTATAAACTCCATGTGGATATACTTATTCTGGAAAAACAATGCCAGAACAGCAAATTTTGATAAATTTCTACAGGAAGACAAAGTCTGCATGCAGACTTTGAAATGTAGGTGTATTACACCAGTATTTATCTATTTTCTCTTTACTGGGTGCAGTCGAGAAACCATGGGTTAGTCTGAAATTGGGAGCAGGAATTGAACTATACCTGGTATTGCTAACCGAAACCAATGTTCCTATTGGAAACTTAGGTGGTGAAATATTAAAATTTGATAATTTTAAAACTTGAAAGTATAGTTTATGACTATATGCTCATGGATGACAGAAGGAATTTCTTAGGACAAAAATATGTAGTAATTTCCAAAGCCAGATGGTAGACATAAGACTAAAAATACACACACACACAAACCAACCAAGCAAACAAAAAAATCCCCAAAACTAGGGGATGGGAACCCAGATGCAATACGAATAGCAAAAAGGAACTGCAGGGCTATTGTTTTGCAAGACAGCACTGATGTTGAGATTCGGTCACAGAAAGATATTCAACCTCTAATACAGGATGGCAGCATACTAAATAGCAGTGCGTTCTGTAACATCTTTTTTTTCTTAGTGTCTTTGTTCCTTTACATCTACAGTGGTGTTGATTTTTAAGAAAATTGGGTCAGTGGGTTCCTTGGGGGGCAGAAAAAGTTGTTCCTTTCCTTGAGGAGACACTGAACTTGGGAGATCTCAGAGTGTGGCAGACAAGAGAGCCAGAAGGTGGAGATGCGAGCATGTCCCCCCACAACAAGGAGCTACAAGAAGGAGCAGAAAGAAACCGATCAGGCTTCAGAGGTTCTGAAGAGAATGTCTAGGAACCGCAGGGGCAGAATTTTGCTGCCATTCAGAAACTCACTAAGCTTACTCAAACAGGCTGGAAGCATGGGCCTGCCTGCAGGGATGAAGTTGACAGAGCTGACTAGAAACTTGTTTTATTTCCATTGTTTGTGGTGGGTTTTGGGGGGGGGGGGGGGTGGATGAAGTTCAGAGCTGACTAGAAACTTGTTTTATTTCCATTGTTTGTGGTGGTTTTGGGGGGCAGGGAGAAGTGTTTTGTTTTGGGTTTCCTTGGGTTTTTTAAACCTAGTGCATTTCAGTTTTCTCTGTTTAAAAGAAAATTGGTCTAGTTTAAATTCTAATAGAATCAGGCTTATTTTTATTTAAAAGCCTGTTTTCTTTTCTGGGCAACACGCTATAGAAAAGCGTTTAGGCAGATCTACCTTAAAGCTTTGACTAATTAGAAGTGCCATCACAGATACCTTATTCTCCCCTCTACTCTGCTCTCATGAGACCCCACCTGGAATACTGCATCCAGATCTGGGGTCCCCAATACAAGACAGACATGGACCTGTTGGAGCAGGTCCAGAGGAGGGCCATGAAATTGATTCAAGGGCTAGAACACCTCTCCTATGAGGAAAGGCTGAGAGGGTTGGGGTTGTTCAGCCTGAAGAAGAGAAGGCTCCAGAGAGACCTTATTGCGGCCTTTCAATACTTAAAGGGGGCTTATAAGAAAGATGGAGAGAGACGTTTTACCAAGGCCTGTAGTGACAGGACAAGGGGCAACGGTTTTAAACTGAAAGAGGGTAGACTTAGATTGGACATAAGGAAAAAAATTTTATGATGAGGGTGGTGGGACACTGGAACAGGTTGCCCAGAGAAGCTGTGGATGCCCCATCATTAGAAGTGTTCAAGGTCAGGTTGGACGGAGCTTTGAGCAACCTGATCCAGTGAAAGATGTCCCTGCCCATAGCAGGGGGGTGGACTAGATGATCTTCAAAAGTCCCTTCCAACCCAAACCACTCCATGATTCTGCTTTGCAAGGTTAATTTTTAACAGGATAGAGTCACCAGACTCTTAAACAGGAATACTTAAATGTAATACACAGAGTGAGCTTTCCATGTCATGGCTGAATTATGAACACAATTAAAATCTGAACAGTCTAAAACAACTATGCAATAACTTGTGCTACCATGCATCTGTACTGGATTCCACTGATATCTCTGTCATTCAGGTACTACTCAATGAAGTCCCTTAACACAATGTAGTCAGAATGAAAAAAACCCATAATTTAAACATAATTTCTGTGTTGCTAAAATCTTAAATAACTTAGACAATTTAATCTTTTAAATATTTTACTGGTAGCTTTTTCCCCACCAGAACATACAGAGATTCAAACATTAACTTCCTTAAAGGAAAAAAGTGTTTTCCTTAGAACCCTCAACATCTGCAGATCTATGGTACATAATTAACACCTTCAGTGTAAAAAATGCTGGAATTATATGCAAGGAAATAGATAACCCCTCCACCTCCAGGGACCTCTCTCTTACCAAATATAAAATAATCCAGTTTTAATTGGTTTCATCTCTGACGTTTCCTGAGTAAAGCACTGAGGTATTGGAAGTTATTGTAAAGAACTATGTATATCACTGACATTGAACTGATATTCCCTAGAAACTAAGCAAAGCCTGTTTAACACACTTCAGAGAGATCTCTTAATCACGAGTTTTGCAGAATAGGAACATTATACCTGGTCATCTGTTTTGCTTACTGATACCATTATGGGGAAGACATGGAGGAATATTAGCCCCACTACATTTGTGGACTGCTTTCTTTTGTCCATTTTTCCAAATGCTTTAAATTTTACATTTACTGAAAATCCAAACCTATATACTTCAACTAGCCCCCCAAAGTAAGGTTGTAGCATAAATTTGGAATCCTTTGATCAGTGTTTCCCTTTGTGAGTTTCATTTTTAAAATGTCCCAGTGTACATGTGCATACTCAGACTCTCTGGAATTGAAGTAAAACTGAAGTAACTAAAGATGCATTTACACATTACCTGACATCAAAAGGGAGCCAGTAAGTGTTACTAGGAGCAGAATAAATTAGGTAAGACTTAATGTGTCCTAATGTGACTATGTAGCTTTGAGGCAATTCACTGGATATGAAGAGCAAGCTTGAACACTTTGCAGCTCAACAGCATGGATAATGCTTTCCAAACAAGAAGCTGATTTTAATTTTAAAATCTTACTTTATCACAGGAGTAGCAAGAAAACGATGCACGCGCATACACACACACACACACGCTCACTCCTCTGAATAGAACACAAGTTGCGATCTCATACCTTTCACAGCCTGTAGCTTTTCCATGGAAATTTTTTTTCAGTTTAAAAATTGGCACTAACATGAATAATTTACTTCTAACTATGTAATCTGTCAATGTTGCAGCTTTGTATATAGCAAGAAGGAGTTCTAGTACATGGACAAATTCTTAGGCTCCCCTTCTCTCCCTGTAGTTGCATTATTACTTGGCTCATAAACACACTTTATACAGTCTGGCAAATAAGTAGGAAAGACAACATTCCAGAGACATTGAATTATGCGGGTGGCTCCAGCATTCCCATCACATCTACATAACCCATCTTTCACTACTATTTAAAATCACAGAAAATCCAGTGCCCAAAAACCATTCAGACAGATATAAGGCTGATCAGTAATTTAAAACTAAAAACCCCAAAACACAAGCATCTGTAAACCAGGAAGTTAATACACATTTTATCTTGAAGTATCATAAACACTATTTTAGCTTCATCTATGTACATAGTGATACTGTATAATCACAGAAAGAAACAAGCTTACCTGCTCTCTTATTTCTTTTAATTTTTCCACTTTCTTGAGCTTTGTCATATATTCCTGGACTTCTTTCAGCCCCATATCTGTGCAGAGACGAACTAAAAATCGGAGGCCTAATTGAAAAGCAAAACATTGTTAAAAAAAAAGGCTTACAAGCAGGTCAAACTGCAAGTGCACCATAACAGAACTGGATGTACAGAATGGCAAACAATGCAAATAACTGGGAATACAAGGTGACTCTAGTCCAGTATCACTATGCAAGTTGTGATATTCTGCAAATAATTCAACAGTTTCTGTGATGCAGTGTCTATATCCATGAACAGTACAAATACCATTTATATATGTGGAAGGCACAAGACACACTAACTCATCTGGCTCAGAACTCTTGACATTTGCAAAATATTTTGGAAACTGGAAAGCATAATAATGATACTAAGTTATTACCGAGGAGCCACTATCAATAGCATTTTGTTGAAAACAATTTTACAAATGCCAAGTGAATCAGAATGGTTTGTTTTTTCTGTTGCTGTGGTTGATTTTTTAAAGATTAGTATTTATAGAATTAAAAAACCCCAACAAACCAGACACGAAGATTGACTATAACTGTATGACGGAACCAAAAGAATCCCTAAAACCAGTCTCCTGAGACATTATACCAAACTCTGAAAACATTGTTGCTATTCCTATGTGTTTGTCAACATCCCTTTGAAAGAAACGCCTTTGAAGCAGAAACAAACATGACGTGACCCATTACCCTCCTGACTACTTTCACAAATATGCTATTTTCTTTTTGTGCTAAGTTAGTTTTCTGCTGGTTCAGGGAGCTGAACTTGTTCACTGAGGGATCAGATAAGCATCAGAACGACCATAAGGAAGATGGTTGGGAGCACATAGCCAGGGAGGGATGAGTGAAGAACCATTGTTTCAGCAGCAGAAAACTTTTAAATCAGTTCAATTGTCTTGTCGAACTCCTGCCTCTGTTTCATGATTTGTAGAAACTACATTCAGAAAAATATTAGCATTCTAAAAGGTTTACTAAATACTCTACCCCTCTGAAATATGTGTGACCGATATGAACATGACATTTTGCTTATAACTTTGAGGAGTCATAGTACTGAATTTCTCTTGTACAACAGAGCTGTATGACTGCTCTTCAAAAAAGCAGTACGTTTGTTAAAGCAGAACGGTACAATTTGATTTTAAAATACAGTGAATGTTCTTCTCATATAGCATTTAAAAGTGTAGGCTTGTTGGCGACAATCTTGTATTTTGGAATTAGTGAGGCACAATATGGGATGTAAGAGAATGTTTTCACAACCAGTGACAACCCCCGTTTTCTACAGGGCTTTTTAATTTAGAGTACAAGTGTGACTGATTCTGCAAAATGTCTTACTCTTCAAAGTTATGTTTCCTGTAGTTTAGTTTGCAGTTCTCTACGGATTTTCTAGAGACTGGTTGACCAACAATACTTAAACACCCAACAACAAAATCTCACCCTCCACATTCTTTTGGAAGGCCTGGCTTTGGTAAAACTTAACAATAAGATTTTCTCATATCTAGAAACTTACAGCAGGAGTTTCAACTAGCAGGGGCTAGAAGTAAAAATACATATATTTTATCATAAGAAAGATTAAATAAGTAACATAGTTATAAAATTTAGAAAGTGTGTGAGAAAGAACTCAACCAATTCGCTACAGTTAAAGTTTATTTTCATCTCTCCTCTTCAGCATTACCCTAATATTTCTTAAATCACACTTTAATGCTGTCACAGAAAACATGCAGCATTAGCATGAGTTAAAATGTTAGTTCATTAAAATATTTTCATATGAAAAATACATCATACAATTACTAACACACATATTCAATGTAATAAAGTTTCCTTTGATAGTTGTACCACTCAATGAAACAACTTACATTCAACATTCTCTGGGAATTTTCTGTGAATGACTTTGTATTTCTCTAGAGCTTTCTGGTAGTTACCTGTAAATAAAACAAACATCTCCTATCCACATATCCAAACATAAAAAAGAATATCTGATGAAAAATTGATACAGTTTAACATCACTTCATCTTTTAGTTTGAGTACATGATTTAATATTGTAAGACCAAATTTGATAAAACCAAACTTAACATGCTTTAATTACTGATAGCAAAAATTAAGAGCATCTGAAAACAGTCCAAATTACTCTGTAAAAACAGAATTAATTAAGAGGAGTTTCCTGATTTTTGCCCTTTTTTGACCTGCCCCTAGGACCCCATTGTTCTATGACACATCTACTAGACAAGCTGTATCAAGCATACCAAGGCTTATCTGAGGCTGCAAATGTAAGGATTGGTCAAATAGAAATGTGTAACAGCTGAGCTCTGCCTACCCTTCCTTCCATCAGAATACTAATTGTGTGTCTCTCCTTTGCCCATATCTGGTAGCAAAGTAATTATTCTTTATGACTTTTGCCTTCAATTTTGACTCAGCTAGATGATTATGGAAAGGACTGATAGATTCACAGGACTGACCCTGTGAATCTAAAACCTCATATCCATAAAATATCTGACAAAAATGTTTGTTGAGATATCACTATTTTCATTTTCCTAGTGCGAGGTAGAGATCAAACTGACCTGCTATATGTTAACACGATAAGCTGGGAATTTTGCCAATGAATCATAAATGATCTAAAAAGCAGCCAAAACCATTGTGTTTCTTTGCTGGGAAAACAGTTAATCTGTCCAGTTTTGGGTGGTGCCAACTGTTCTTAATTCACTGACTTTCCTAGGTCCTGTTCCTTTTCTCACTGTTGCATTAAATAACTGAGCAGAGTGAGAAGATGCACTTATTTATTATGGAAGTCTGTTCTGCAAAGTTCTAAAGAAGCATAAAGGAGAGTGACAAAATGGGACAGCAAGAAAGAAGAGTATCATTTACATCATCAAGTGCCTTGAATGCATTTTAGGTGATGAAAAAACCCCAGAAACATTACTCTCTTTCCATTTTGCCTATTGGCATATTATATTCCCAGTAAGAAAATACAGCAAATTAAGACAGTCTTTTGTTTGTGTAATGCAAGTACTATTTTAGTATAGAAAAATTATACCTGCTGTTGAAAAGGAATGCAAATTAAACAACTTTAAAATCTAATTACTTATGTTAGATCAGATGGTAGTACAATTACATTAAGAAAAACTTCTATCAGATCATTTATGCTGTAGTATCTTCCTTATTTTACTTATTTAACAGTACAAGGAGCGTTTCATGCATAAGTCAGTGCAGGCACACTTCCTGGACTTAAAAGAAAAGTCATGTTTTATTACATATACACAGAAGATTCATAACAAAATAATATGTAACTGAGTTTTCAAACAAACTTTAGGACCAGTATTCACATCAGGCAGAAAAGATAAAAAGAAAAAAAAAAACATCAATCAAAACAAAACAAATCATGGAATGGTTTGGGTTGGAAGGGACTTTTGAAGATCATCTAGTCCACCCCCCTGCCATGGGCAAGGACATCTTTCACTGGATCAGGTTGCTCAAAGCTCCGTCCAACCTGACCTTGAACACTTCTAATGATGGGGCATCCACAGCTTCTCTGGGCAACCTGTTCCAGTGTCCCACCACCCTCATCGTAAAAAATTTCTTCCTTATGCCCAATCTAAGTCTACCCTCTTTCAGTTTAAAACTGTTGCCCCTTGTCCTGTCACTACAGGCCTTGGTAAAAAGTCTCTCTTCATCGTTCTTATAAGCCCCCTTTATATATTCTCCAGGCTTCTCTTCTCCAAGCTGAACATAATTACTTATGTTAGATCAGATGGTAGTACAATTACATTAAGAAAAACTTCTATCAGATCATTTATGCTGTAGTATCTTCCTTATTTTACTTATTTAACAGTACAAGGAGCGTTTCATGCATAAGTCAGTGCAGGCACACTTCCTGGACTTAAAAGAAAAGTCATGTTTTATTACATATACACAGAAGATTCATAACAAAATAATATGTAACTGAGTTTTCAAACAAACTTTAGGACCAGTATTCACATCAGGCAGAAAAGATAAAAAGAAAAAAAAAAACATCAATCAAAACAAAACAAATCATGGAATGGTTTGGGTTGGAAGGGACTTTTGAAGATCATCTAGTCCACCCCCCTGCCATGGGCAAGGACATCTTTCACTGGATCAGGTTGCTCAAAGCTCCGTCCAACCTGACCTTGAACACTTCTAATGATGGGGCATCCACAGCTTCTCTGGGCAACCTGCAACCTGTTCCCACCACCCTCATCGTAAAAAATTTCTTCCTTATGCCCAATGCCCAATTACCCTCTTTCAGTTTAAAACTGTTGCCCCTTGTCCTGTCACTACAGGCCTTGGTAAAAAGTCTCTCTTCATCGTTCTTATAAGCCCCCTTTATATATTCTCCAGGCTTCTCTTCTCCAAGCTGAACAACCTCAACTAATTACAAAAAATGTTACAAACCTCCAACCAATTACAAAAAAGTTACAGAACTTACCGCTTCTCCTGTAGCAACTGGCAACCATCAGCTGCCACTTCACTTGTGTCGGTCTGCATATAAATAAAATAAAATTATGCACACTGCCAAACAATGAATAAGCAAAACAATCTGCATAGCATTGGTAAAGACCTACTATTAAACTACTCTTAACATTTTTCACCTAGCACATTGGCTTCCTAGGAAGAATTTAGCTTGTTCAGCGCACACACAGTTTACCCCTACATCATGCTCCTGTGTTCAGCCCTCGATGTCACTCATTTGTAGTCCTGTATTATAGTCTTTCTCCTGCTCATGATTCTGTGCACCAGACACAATTAGTAGACCTGACACGTGAGCCACTAATTTTTGTCTGAGGTACAGAACCACGCAATGGGGAAGAACAAAATGCTAAACAGTATTCTGAGGAAGTCCCACCAGTAGGGTCCCAAGCATGCCCAAGGGATCCCTGCCAGGAAGCATGCTCCCCACTTACAGCTTCAAACTCCGGCTTCTCCTCTGCATCATCACCTCGATGCCCTAGCTGCTACCTGCCCTTCTCTTTTTAGCACATAATGGTGATAGATATGATCAGAGAAAATATTTGAGGTGTTTGAGCATGTACAACAAAACTGTTGGACTCTTTCCTCATTCTTATCAAGATAATGTGAAAATTAAGAAATTTTCATGTCAACAGTGTAAGGATGCTCTGTAAGCCAAAGCACTTTTCACATGTGGCTTACAATTCAGCAGCAGCATATCCCAAAGGCACTGTACACTAACATTTTTCAGAATAGTTTTGTACTTATTCTCTTCAGTTTTTCCCTCCAGTCACAGCACAGGCCATTTTTAACTCTAAATAATCTGTTTGCCTGGTAGTTGCCAAACAAGTTTATGAAAGACAGCTGCTTCATCTTTTTTAGTTTCAGCTGAATACGTCTCCTGCAAACAATAAAGACAGCCAAGCAGACACCATAATAAAGTTTATTACGCAGTTCAGTATTAAAATTCTAGAGAATAAATTGTCAGCAGCCAGCATTAGCTGCACAACTCCTTTTATTAATGATAGATTTGGGCATGCTAGTAAAATGTAAAATAATGAAAAACCGTTTCTCAATTCATTGTCTAACATGTTATCTTAGAATACAATTTAAAATGTAATTATTGTGATTAAAACACTGAATACACTAAACAATGTTAAACTAAAAAATGCTGGTCATGGTTAAAATAAAGTTATAATTTTAAAATGTAACTTTATTTACAATTAGTAGCAATTTATAACCCAACATTCATATTTATCAATTAGTATATCTAGACTCTATTTTTAATACCAAATAAACACCAAAACATATATGTTATCTACTATTAACGATCTCATCCCACAGAGAAATAACTTCTCTGTATTACAGGTAGATTACAATTACAAATAATAATTAAGAACTTCATATGCCAATTATTCCTAAGTACTTTTCAATCCACATACTTCATGTTTCATGCATCGACTGAGTGCAACATGAAGCATAAAATATTTAGATTTTTGCCAAAACAAGATTATGAAATAATTCTTTTCAGTTTCAGCTGTTTCTTTCCAAAGTTTCTAAGAAGGCTGTGAACGCCAGCATATGCGATCGCATAGCTTGACTAAAACACAATTTTTTAAGGTGGCCAGTATTTATACTGAAAAGAATACTGGCAAACCTATGAACTGTGATTTCTGTGAACTGTCTCCTGTGTATTTTCATCTAATCTACATCTCTATTTCTTTATAATTATATCACAATTTGGGTAAAGTCTATGTTTTTCTATTTATTTTTGTTTGAATTTTTAATACTTATTTAAACCTCGGATTTTCTCTTCTGTAGTTAGTCTACTCTAACTCAAGCCCTTTCAAAACCAGAATTAGTATTTTTTACTGAACTTCTAACAACCTATTTGCAGTATAAGCTTTCCTTGAATAATATTGTAGAAATTTTTGTTCACATGCCGTCTTGTTCATGCACGTCATTCAGATTCAGAGAACAAAAAGAATGTCAAATTTTAGATCATCACAAGACAAGCAATAACTGAGGTTTGCTTAGCCTGATTTTTGATATGTTTCCCAAACCTATAGGTTTGGAGAAATAAAATGGAATTGGAAATAAAATAGAGAAACTCACACTTGTTGGAGTGAATTTTAGTTGCATGAATTTTAGTTGGTCTATTAACTCAAAATTCTTCATGAACATACAGACAAATTTGTTTCCACACAAAAAGACCATATGCACGTCTTTTTAGAATTCTGTTTGAACTCTGGATTACAGATTCAAATTTGACCAAATTTTTGTTTATTAACCATTTGTCTGGTAAGCTCCCTTTCTGATCTAAAATAAAATATATGGCCTACATACTTTCTTAAGTGCATTATATTCTGCTAAAGGACAATTTCAGCAATTAAGTTGCTGAACTAAACTCAATATATTTCAAGTATCTCTATCAGGATCAATTTGATCTGTCAACTTATTTTCACTAACCATCGGTAATTCTGCACTGCACGTTTTTGCTTACTTCTATACCTTATTTGTAATAGCCTTTTTATGGGAGTGAAAAGTGGAAATGCAGCAAGAACTGCTAAAAGATGCATTTATCTAAACCATCGAATCCACACCGCATGATAAAATAACAGAAAGGAAATATTTCACATAAATCCATAGGGAAGGAGGTGTTGGTGGCTTAGAAGAGCTGTTCGCCACTTCATAGCTGTGTTTAATGGCAGAGGATAGAGAAAAGAGATTCTAACACCTAATACTATCTTGGGCCCAATGGAGGATCTTACCTAACATTGAAATTGCACAGTAAGAGCGAAAACACACTATAAACAAACAGAAAGTTGAGAAAATTAAATATCCCAAATATTCTTAACTCTGGTATTTGCTTCCAGTATTAAAGACATCCAACTAATTTATCTCTAGGTATACTTATGGATGTCTAATCACAAAATATTTGAGTAGGCATAAAATAATAATTACTTACAGGATAAGTGCTGCTCTTTCAAAGTACTCAATGGCTTTTTCACAAAACTGAGTGTCAATGTAATAGGCTCCAAGCCATTCAATGACCTCAATGTTTGAAGGGAAATACCGGTATGACTGACAAAATAGGAAAGGTGAAAGAAACACAATTTTAGTGATAAACAACATCTTTATGTTACTTCTGGAATATCTTACTCAAGTGTTTAATTCTCCAGATGCCAAAAACATGTAATATATGAATGGAAGTAGTGTGCTATACTAAGTAATCCTGAAAAAAAAAAAAGCGTGCCAAGTTTTCTAATTACAGAATGCTTTTTAGAAGTTACCTGAGATGTCCGTCACATTTTCCATCTAGCCTTATTTGAAATATTATTTTAAATAGTTTGCAACAGCAAAAATGTTTACTTAGATCATGTCTACACGTGGATAAGTTACCTAAAACATTAAACAATGCTAACTAATACATGTACAATTCCACACTCAAATCAGTCTGCTGGAAAACTCACCTAAAAATGTTCTTTTCTATGAAATACCTATGTACATAAATAACATTTTTGGCTTTTTAGAAATTCCCACTGAAATAGGCAGCAAAATTATCATCAAGCACAACTCCACTAGTATTCAGATTGCAACACAGCCTTTGGTCATCCTTGCTTTACACAGATAAAAAAGCCTCTCAGATTGCAGCAAAGCAACATCCTGTCTTATTCCTGTTTCTAAAACAGAAGAATGTCTACAAACTACAGACAGTACTATAGCTGGTTTGAAATAAGCGAGGATGCCTATCTTTAGGCAACTGTGTATACATAATGTGTAGCTGTACCATTAAAATATATATTTAAACTTACATACATAAACACAAACACATTATATATCTCTCTCTCTCCACATCCGTTATACAGATATAGCTTCCAATCAATGCAGTCATGTTACACACCTTTAAAATTACATTTATTATATCAATTTTTTATTTCATCTCAGACTATATTTTAAATTAAAATTGTTAGGGGTTAATGTAAACAATGACCATATGAAAAATGAAAGTCTGAGATCAAATACCATGTGGAAACACAGGCTACTTGTTTCCTTAGGATCTGACTACAAAAATTAGATTTTGTCAACTCACTCTCCCTCAAAATCTTTTTTTTTTAAATGACGTTTTTAAAAGTTTAAATGAATCAATTGTTAATTTGATATAGGAACCTATGACAAAATTGTCTTTAATTATGACAAAGTGCATTGGAAAAGCAATAAAGAGCAAGTACCTCATAGTAATAATGAAAAGCTTGGGATTTATCACCTTCATTATCATATAATTTCCCTAGCTTTGAAAGTACATGTGGATCAGTTGGTACTACACTGATCAACTGCAGGAGCCACTCTATGGCTTGATTGGGATCTTCCATGATCTCATATCTGAGTTTTCTTCAGTCAAGGACTGATGCCGATGATATTTTGACTTACTCAGAATTCCTACTACTTTACATAATGTAATCCATATGCTGGACAGATACGCCAGTCACTGTAGTGTGGGGATACATTGGGATTTTTTACACATTGTTTTCATAATTTCATTTGTATCAGGAAGTATTTTTGTTACACTGAAGAAAGAGAAATATTCAGAGGCTTTGGCTGCTCTTTCACCTTAAAAACACTTTGGGCTCAACAGAACTTTGGGCTCGGTTCTCCTCTCTGTCACTAATTTTACTTTGACTTCATCATTTATAAGAATGAAGTGTGAGAACCAGGCGATTTATTTGTAGCCTTTACAACTTGGTTAGTTTTTTTATAATACATCATTTTGTCCTAGAGTAAGCGATTAGGTAAAACTGCTATTCTCAAGAAGAGACTTTTGCCTGCAGTGAGATTTTCTGTTCTATGTCTAGGAAGCACAGCACAGACAGTGCATGAGTCTGGTCCAGAGAACAGAGGCAGCTTTAGCTGCAATTAGGCCTGCAGCGTGCTCTCCCCTCCTCAGTCACCCCTCAGCAGCACAATGGCTCAGACCTCTGCAGCAACGTGAGCTGGAGCTACTGCCCAACATGTTTTTTCGGTTTCTGCTGCACCCTACCCTTCACGGAAAAAGCTTGTGAGTGTTGGTGGAAAGCAGTTTTATATAGCAGTGGAGCAGAGAAATTCTCCCCCAGATGGGAACTGGGAGTTATAGGGCCGTTTATGCTGTTGTAAAGGGGCTAAGCAAGGAATGAAGATCACAGCCCTTTTGTATTTTTGGAGGTTACTTATTTCACTGACTAAAATATATTTTTATTACCTTCACTATTCTTAAAAATGTAGTACAGCAACTGGAATCTGTTCTGCTTTGGGGAGGATTCTGTTATGATTTGCACATCCTCAGAAGCACTGTTAAAGAAATTCATAGTGTAGAATATCACTGGTGATGTGCAAAGCCAACCCCTCCCCTCCTCATCTTTTCAATCTGTTGAGCTTTTGCAGTGCTGGGAGACAACTATTTTCTTACACATACACTAACTAATCTGAAAACAGCTTTCAGAACAGAACTTCACTTTCATTAACTATATTATTTTTTTCTTAAAGGTTTTATTTAATTGTGCTTTCATCTGCCACATTATTTTCTTAATAAAATCAGCAGCATTTTAAATATTCCAGGACACACTTTAATAGTGAGTGTAAATGTATTCCCTGCAATGTGAACAGTCTTAATGTATTTCTTCACTTGCTTCACTGGAAATGTCCAAGAAGGTTGTAAGTTCTATTCTCGTTTTTGCAAACATCAGAGAACAAATCTATGCAATCAATCATCCTAATTATAATGGACACTACGGTAAATTTCTAAGTTGTTGTGTCATGATTGAAACACATATTTCGGATTAAACGACTTTACTAAAACCACCATCCCTCATCATAATCCAGAAAAAGATACATGTTTGCTATCTGGTAAAGGACTTGGGCACTATTTCGAAGGATTGCATGGAGTTTCAGAAAACAATCCAAAGCTTCATCTATTCTGTTTAACTTCTTGTATGTTAAACCTAAAAAATAAAGGTTACAGTATTAACGCAATAAGAAAAAGATGACTTCAGCATATTAACTGACAGAATAACCAAGAAAAATGAAATAGGAACACGGTACTCAGAGGCAGTGTAACTGCCTTGACATTGACAGACTCTATTCTTGTAATATGAGCCAAGCTTGTAGTTCTTACCAGCTAGTATGACTTACTAAACTGATAAACACAAGGAACACGAACCTAATCAAAGACCAAGAATGTATGTAATCTCACTTTTTGAACAAGATGAATGAGGGAAAGGGAGGGCTTTTAGAGGGGAATGACTCTGATGGTTTAATAATGCTAAAACTGGTATATTTTTTGTAGATAGAAATTTTTATCTTCAAAGAGACTTAATCACCTGCAATTACTAGTTGATATTGTTAATACTGGTATTTTTTTGCAGAACAGATAGGAAGTACAAATTAATATCTTGCTGTAACACAAATTACTGAATAAAGTAATAATAATTAGTATATATTTCTAGACAAGAAAACTTTGAAACCCGGATTCTCAGAAACATGAGTGTTACCTTTAGACAAAAGCTAAATCACAAAAGCATCTTTGGCTTACCAAGATTATAAAGTGCTTCAGTGCATGAGGAATCATTCCTGAGAGCTTCCTTATAAAACTCAGCTGTTTTTTCATAGTCTCCGCTTGCAAAAACAGTATTTCCTTTGTTAGTTAGAGCTGCTGGATTGTACCTATCAGAATTTACAGCTAAATCTGCGTAGTTAGCTGCTTGTACCAATTCATTCTCCTACATGAACAAAACAAGCATTGTATTAGTCATTTGTCAGTCAATTTTCTTGCAGCTGTGGCTTCTTACAGTAAATACAGCAGAATTTTGAAAGATTGAGGATGAAAAAAACAATACATTCTTTAGTCCTAAAATATTCCTTATGTATTTGCATAAGGCAGATCATCTCTTTCAAGTTTCAGAGAACTTAACACGAGATGTGTTTTGCCACTGTCCATTCAGTCTGGAAGTTTTCTTTGTTGCAACAAAGTAGTATTTCTTAACAAAACAAAAATAAATCCCCATACCTTACAAACTTCATACACAAACACACCTGCCTAAGCTACATACTTCACATGTTCCTGAAGTTCAGCCAGGGTCTTCAGGACCTGAGTTTTAAATGCAGCTGCTGAGCTTCTGCACAAATCACACTGCAAGCACACTTCTGTGGCCTGGGGCTCAGTCTCACTCTTCCTCCCAGCAACAGGATACAAAGGACATGCTCCGAATTTCAAGTATAGCCAAGAATGGGTGTTCCAGAATAACCTCTCTAACATGCAGTTTCTTGTTGTTTACAGAGATTATTTAGACAGACACAAAAATTGCTAGATACAGAAGTTGCTATATAAACTGCAGTTCTTAACTGGTTTTGTTGAAGCAAACACTTACCAAATAATAAAGGAATGAAAGGTTTGTTGCAGCTGCACTCTTCACTCTGCTATCCTTTTTCTCAAACATTTTTAGTGTCTCTAGTGCCTAGAAGTAATTTGGAAACAATTTACTTCCCACTGAAGAAAACCTACACCAAAATTCTTTCAGAAAGCATTGATAAACTTCACGGTAACAAACAGCTAAAATTACCAACTCATATACACACATATATGAGAATTACTACAGCTTATAACACATGCTTGTAAGCACGTACACATATATTTATATTATACATAATATTAATCTTGGTCACAAAATTTCAGTAGAATTGACTATTTATTACTTCTTCAAAATTTAGATTAGATATTGCTACCTTGAAGTACACAGATATCTGACAATTCTATAAATACAAAGGCTGCAGTGACCATGAAATGGTGGAGTTCAAGATCCCGAGGGCACCGAGGAGGGCACACAGCAAGCTCACTACCCTGGACTTCAGGAGAGCAGACTTTGGCCTCTTCAGAGATCTGCATGGTAGAGTGACAGGGGACAAAGCCGTGGAGGGAAGAGGGGCCCAGGAAAGCTGGGTAATATTCAAGGATCACCTCCCCCAAGCACAGGAGCGATGCACCCCAAAAAAGAGGAAGTCAGGAAAAAACGCCAGGAGGCCTGCATGGCTGAACAAGGAGCTCCTGGACAAACTCAAACACAGAAAGGAAGCCTACAGAGGGTGGAA